TGAAACTTAGTACCCAGATCAGAGCGTCTGGGGCTTGGCATGTCCTTGGGGGTCCATAAACTCAGAATGAATTAATGAAGTAGTCCACAAACACCATGGTATACCAGAACTATTCCCCCCCTTTCTCTACACATTATATTTTTAATAATGCAGCCTGGGCTTATATCAGCTCTTCCAAGAGGGATTTCCACATGCCTGTTGGCTTGGGTATGCAGGCGTCTCCCCTGGGGGTCAAGGCTGCAGGACCTGTTGACTGATACCCACCTGCCTTGGGGGTTTTAACAAAGAACTCAGTAGCATAACAGAAGAGGTGAAATGAAAAAACAAACGCTAGTCATGCAACAAAAGATGCTCGTCAGGGACAGTCTCAAAAGGTCCTGCTTCCCTTAATAAATCTGCACTGTGGGTTATTAAGTGTAGTCATTAGTGCTGACCAACAAATATTTCTGATTCCCTCACCAGACGCCTGGTAGAAAAGCACTTCCCTGCCCCCTTCTAGTTAGGAGTGGTCATGTGACTCGCTTTAGCCAATGAGATGTGAGTGAAGGAGCTGGTGCACAATTCACCAAGTTTCCCTTTTCCGGCCTTTGGCAATCATGGAAGCACAGAGATGCAGGTCCTTCAGTAAAGGTGACAGAGCTGAGCCCCTCAGGGGACCTATGATGGACACATGGGGCAAAAGTGAGAACCTTAATTGTTCTAAGTCATTGAGATTTTATTTGTCGTTGTTATCACCAGAGCAGACCCTAGACTATCCTGACTGAACCTGTATTACTGAAACAGAAACTAGAACATTCAGAGTTTATGTCCTCTAGATCCACCAGATCATAGCTTTCACATTATTTCTCTTCTCCATGCTTCTACTCAGTAAGATGGGAAACAATCTTTTGGTGGGCATGCACCTGGTACACCAAACAGCTCAGGTGAGCCCCACCTGCCAGCAGTGCGGGAGATGGGTTATCTGTTCACGTCAGTAATGCTCTAAAGGAAGTCACCATGGAGAATGTATTTTTTCTTCTCACAGGATAAGGAATCCCAAGATTATCTGACTAAAATCCATCTGAGATTGCCACTGCAGCCCAAAGAAGGGTGGGTTATCTGGAGGAGACTTAAGGATAAATAGAAGAATCTGGGAGTAATTCAGGAGGGATGGGAACAGCAGGTTGTTTAAATCAGTGGTTCTCAAATTCTTACCAGAATCAGAATCACCTGAAGGCTTGTTAAAACACAGTTTATGGGGGTCCTACCTCCAGAATCTCTGATTCAGTAGATCTGGGGTGGGGCTTGAGAACTGCATCCCTAACAAGTTCCCAGGGGATGCTGGTTCAGAGACCACACTTTGAGAACCACCACTCTAGAAGTGGTGAAACCGAGGCAGAGGCTCTGGCGAGAGGAGTCAATGTGACCGTAACAGACCTTTGGAGAAGGAAAAGAAAAGAGCCGGTTTTCCTTTTTCTACCCAACACATTAATCTGAGAGCTGATATAAAGACACAAACGGTCATCTCAGCCTTTTTTTTCTCACCACATAACACACTACACAACAAAATTAAGCTCCTCTAAGGGAACAAAGTGGAAATCATATTCCTTAGCACAGTTTTAAAAAATGGTTTCTGGGAAGGCAAATCATGCCTCACTCACCCTCCGGAGCTCCCCCAGGATTTACCTGGAGGAAAAGCCAAGTCTATTTGGATAGAGGAAGCAATTTGGATAATTGGCTGCAACCTCCCTCTCCAACCTTATCTCTCCTTCACAAACCTCCATTACATGTCAGTCTTCTGGAAGGCTGCCTATCTCCACTTTATTGAGTTGTTTTTCTTGGGTTTTATCTTGCTCCTTCATCTGGTACATAGTCCTCTGCCTTTTCATTTTATCTATCTTTCTGTGAATGTGGTTCTCATTCCACAGGCTGCAGGATTGTAGTTCTTCTTGCTTCCGCTGTCTGCCCTCTGGTGGATGTATAGGGTAATGCCTTATTTCTGCTAGTGCTGGAGGGTCTCCTGCAGAGGCGGGAGGCAGCTGTGGCTCACCACGGGGACAAGGACACTGGCAGCAGAAGTTCTGGGAAGTGGCATGTCAGTCTTCTTGCCAAGGCTGGTCACACTTCCCTCAGCTGTGAATGACCCTCACACTCGTGCACACTTATCTTCTCTTATCTAAATCTTACCCCTTCCTCCAGTTTAGGGCCAGACACTTCAAGAAAGTCTTCCCTCTCTTTCGTCCCCATCACAGCCAATGAATCACCAAGTCCTGTCAATTTTACCTCCCAAGTATCTCCAGAATCCACTTGGTGCTCTTCGTTTTTCATTCTAACTCAACTAGTATAGATTCCCCATGCTCTCCCCTCTCTGTCTTTGCACAAGTTGTTCACCTTGACTGGACAGGTCTCAATTTAAACAACCTCCTTTCCCAGCATGGAGAGGCCTTCCACAATCCCTGAGCCAGGTCAGAACTCCCTTTTATCAACTCCCATTGAACCCTATGTTCCCTCTATCCTGAACATTTATCACATTTGTGATATCTTGTTTAATTATCTTCCCTACTCAACCGTAAGCTCTTCACAGACAGGACCACATTTGTCTTGTTTGCTGCTATAACTGCAGAGTCTGGCATAGCCCCTGACACATGTAGGCACTGACTAAGTATTCAATGAATAAGTGCAGCAATTACCACATCAGTTCATAGGAATCATCCCTTCCTCTCAACGCCTAAAGCACATTCTGACTGCTTCAAGGAATGTCTGGCCATATAGTTGTACCCATCATCTGAAATGAGCAAGCACCCCTTATGACATTCAGGAAACGGGATCTAGAGGGGAAAAGTGACCCTTGAAAAGAAGGAATATCTTTTCCTTGGAAACTGGATGGAATTGAGATTAGCTGCAGAGATATTCTGGTAGGATAAAGAGGCTATCTTCTCAGAAGTGGTCAAGGGATAAAGTCTTCTGTTAACAATGAGAAAAAGGATGTGTGTGACAGAGGTGTTTAGTGATGGAAAGTGTGCATTTCTCCAGAAGCTCTTATTAAAGTTGGTAACTTCTCAAGCTAAATGTTCTGATGGATTCTACATCCAGACCTTTAATAATGACAGGCGCCCATGTCTCCTGGATGCCTAAGGAGGGGGGCTGAACTCAATAACCTCCCAAGAGCTTCCAACCTTCAGGATTCTATAAACAAACTCATTCCAACCTGGAATTCAGAGAATCCACATTCTGGCTTTGTCTTTACACAGCAGGTCTTTTTCAATGTAGGAGACACGACAATCTTTACCTTGCGTCCCCTCTTTCTCTAATAGTATTAATGCTTTCAAAGTCAAACACCCCCCCCCAACCCCCCACAAGCCCCACAGTCTGGCTGTCATGTCCTGTGGGCCACGAGCACCAAAATAACTGAGCAAACAGCTTCTGACTAGGGCAAGGGTTAGACCTGACCAAAAAGAGATCAGGCTGGGATGACATCCTGGCTTTTCTACTTCTAGCCAGGCAACTTTGGGCAAGTGACGTGACTTCTTTGGGTCTTAGTATCTTCGTCTCTAAGATGGTGAAGATGGTCTACCTCTCAGGATTATTGTATTAAGTGAGATATGCATATAAAATCCCCAGCACAGAGTAAACATGCAAGGAATGTCAGTATGACCATAATTACAGATTTCTAGTTTTAAAAGTTCTGTTGGATAATGATTCTAAGTTAAAAACACTATTGAGATGAAATAATATGTTTGGAATTTGCTTCAAAATAATCCAGGGGTGAGGGGGAGGGTACAGACAAAATAAAATCAGCCATGTTTTGGAAACTGTTGAAGATGGGTAATGAATATATCGGATTTATTACTGTATCTCTCTACTTTTGTGTATGTTTGAAATTTTCCGTGTTAGTTTAAAAGTTTAAGTACTAAGAGAGGGGAATGCTGTAAAAATATAAATACTGATAATTTAAGATTATATTTCAACATATCTAGGTGATTGAACAGAAGAAAAATGATTTGAAGGGGGGGAAAAAAAAAACACTTGGGAATTCCCTGGCAGTCCAGTGGTTAGGACTCTGCATTTTCACTGCCGAGGGACTGGGTTCAATCCCTGGTCAGGGAACTAAGATCCCACAAGCCGGCCAAAAAAAAAAATTATATATATATATCATATATATATATATATATATATCATATACATATATATATGATATATATATACACATATATATATATACACACACATTATACATATATTATATGTATGTGTGTGTATATTTTTTTTTTAAAGAAAAAAAAGAAAAACGCTTAAAGCCAATGTCTCTATTAGTTTCTCAGACAGAATTGTTTTCTTCAAACATAACTATCTCAAATGATCAGAAGGGAACACAGACACTTGCACACATTTCTCTGCCTTCATTTTTGGGAGAACACCTCCCCAAAGTGTATGCGTGGGCTGTACATGCATTTTTAAGCAGACAAGCCCTGGGTGGTACAAACTACCTCTGAGCACCCCAGATGCCCTGGTTGAAATGGGACTGAGGGGCAAGATGGTGCCCGTGGTTAGGGAAAGCAAGCAGAAAGGACTCAAAATGTTCAGGGACAATGGGTGCCACCAGCCCTCCTCTCTTCTAAGCCCTGGCTTTGGGCTCCTATATGAGGCCTCCTCAGGAGGTTTGGCTGGACCTGAGGCTGTATTTAAGGTACTCTCACAACAGGTGAGTGGTCCTCTCAGAGCACGGCTAGTGTGTTAGGTGACGCTTGAGGGGAAAGGGATCATTCAGGGAAAGGGAGCTATGAAGAGGCTCTGACAATAACCATCACAGCACATCCCCATATCATCTCCCCGCTTCCACATCTACCCGCTGAAAGTCTAGAGATTGACAAACAAAATTCTCGAGTTTCACCTTGAATCAAACAATCCACGCCAAGCCCCTACGTCTGAGAGAGAAAACAGTCCAGCAAGCTTTGTTTTAAGCAAATGCCTTTAAGTTCCCAAGCTCTGCCTGGAAAAGGAGAATATACAAATGTACTTACTCTTCTTGAAGAATAAATTCGCTATTTTCTGGAGAAAACTGCCCACTCACAGGATGCCTGAAGGCTGTGGTCTGCTGGTTATGGCTAAAGAGAAAGAGAGATAATGAATGAGAAATCCTGTGAATGGAAAGGCTCACAGACACAACAATAGGTCATTAATGTCTGAGGACCCCTGGTCAACACAGACTCCTCCCAGGGTAAGACCACTCCAGAACCCAGCTGCACTGAAAAACCAAAAACTTCCAGCTCAGGCGCCAAAGCCCACCTAAGACGTGGGGATTTCAATTCTAGGCAAGTCTTGCCTCCAAGACAGCACTGTATCTTAGAGAGACAGTCCATGAAGGGCTAACTCCAACAAACTGACTCACTCAGTGAAAGTTACTTTAAGATGGCACGAGCTGAAAACAAGAATGAAGGAAAGCAGATGGCACTTTCAACAGCTTCCAAAACCCATGAACCAGGGAAAGAATCCTAAGAATTAACATCCACCCAGAAAAATCTATCTTCTTAAAATTCTTCTCCCTACTACAAAATGTCTTCACTTCAGTGATGGGACATAAATGTATGGGCATGTCTCTGCAACATGACCTGTACAATTTCAACACTGTGTGAGTTTCTATCACCCTTTTGAAGTGAGAAGGGATCAGCTTCCACGCCGAGTTGACAGACACAACCGAAGTGTGTAGGTGTTTTGTGGATTCATAAAGGCTGCCTGGTTCTTTGAAAGGAAGGAGGAGTTGGCTCTAGAGGCTGCTGCTCTGATCCACACGAATAAACTAACCTAACCTCCTTTTTCTATTCTTTAAAGAATATGATTTATGTTAAAATGTTTTTCTCAATCGCAAAATCAGAGTTACTTTAGAAATTTTAGAAAATATAGAAAGAAAAAAGGCCACCCATGATCTCACCACCTAGAGATATACCTGGGTATCTTCTCCTTCCTAGCTTTCTTTTTTTTTTTTTTATCATTTTATTTAAAAAAATATGATTCTACTGTATTTAGAAATCTGTATCCTGCTTTTTTCACATCCAATTAACATAGACAATTTCCTATGTCTTTAAGATGTCTTCATTTGAAATAGGTGAATAATAAATAGTTTTATCATATAGATGTAAAATTTTTACTGGCCATCTGTGTGCCAGGTACTGCCTGAGGTGCTAGAGATACAGAGTGAACAAAAAAGTCCTTACCCCGCAGTGCTTACATTCTAGAAAGATTTACATTCTTCTAATGCTGGACATTTTAGGTGCTTCCCATACCCGACCCCCACTATTATAGTTAATATATCTTTGCATATATGGGCTTTTTCTGCAATTCAAATTATTTCCTTGGGTTAAAGTCCCAGAAGTAACATTACTAAATCAAAGGGCATGGTCATTTTTTAAGGCTCCTTATACAGACGGTTAAAATGCTTTTTCTTGTCAGAGTCAACATATCATCTCAGTTCGATAGTGTTAAGGTATCAGCCCCGTCCCCAAACTGAGCCCTGACTCCCCCCAGAGATTAGTAGGTTTAAATGAGCATAGCATAAAGGTATAAAAAAAAAAACAACAACAAACCTCTAAGCCTACAAAGTTTGCCTTCCTCTGCCCTGGAGCTGTCAGAGCGTCCTGCGTTCTGGTGTCTGGGTAAAGCTGGCACTGAGGTCTGAGCAGCCTGAATCCTAATAAGCCCTATGTGAAATAGGCAGAGCTATCGGGCCAGTCTGCTCCCTGGCCCTGCAACTGCACACCACCCCTAGCACCCCCTCAACCCTCCCAACCACTGCCAGCCTCCGAATTCCCAGCTCCTGGTTCCAGGCAAAGCCCCTGGAATCCTATGACCTCATCTGGCAGGCAGCAGACTGTTCTTCCCAAAAAAATAGAGTTGAGGAATGAGCGTCTGGATAAGGATGAGAAGCAGACCCCCATAACACCTATTTCAGAAATCCTTGCATTGTGTTCATGGGTTAGGCTTTATTTGCACCCAGTTTCTTTTAGCCATCTCCATTCACCAGGGAATTTGAAAACATTCTACCTAAGCCTGCCTCATTTCTACCTAGAGGAAAAAAAAAAAATGCTCTGCTCATAACGGGAATAACAATAATTCCTAACCACGATTACCTCTACAAAGCCTTTTCTTACACATCTTAAGTATTAACACCATCGACCCCTGTTTTATGAATGAGGAAATGGCTCAGAGAGATTAAGAGACTTGCTCAAGATAACTTTGTCAATAAGTGATAAGACTGGGACATGAATCCAGGTCTTCAATTTCTAAATTCGATGCTCTTTGCATGCTAACCTGCTGTCCCCTTCCCTTAGGAGTCTGTGGGGCTGGCAGCTTCCTGGTCAAGATCAGAAGTCCCTGAAGTCAAGGCATCTGAAAAACAGCATCATCTACTGCTACTCCCTCTCCCTCCCCTTATGCCCAGGGCCAAATTTCTGAATGACACCACCTGTGTGGCACTCAGTAGCCCCCAAACAGCCTTTGGTCCTATCCCAAGGTCAGCCTGGTGAATCTCTGGTGGATGTGAGCAAAGAGCAAATCTTCTATGTGCTTGGAGTAGCATCCGGCAACCAGCAATGCCTTCATATACACTGTACAACCTGAAGAGCAGCTCCTGGGCTCCCCACACCCAACTTGTACCAGATTAAATAAGCCCAGGGTCTTGGGTAAATGAATCCTGAGCTGGAAGGTGTAGGCACTGCGATGATTTTCACATTCTAACATTAGAAGAAAGATAGTTTTTTAAAGAGGACAAAAATATAGCTGTCATTTGATCAGACCTAGAGGCAGCTCCTCAACCTTCCTTCCCTAATATGGACACTGCCCTTTTTGCTAAAAACAGTTATCAACCACAGCACCATCACCACCATTTCCTGCATTTACATGAAGTTTTAAGTGTGGTCACATTCATTATTGTATTTGACCCTCCCAAGTACCCACTGAGGTAGGCAGCACAGATATTTTTATTCCTATATTATGCAAAAATAAATGAAGATGTGGTTTACGGGGTGTTATTGGAAGACTAAATTAAAAAACAAAACAGGACTCAATACATTGAGAAAAGAGATGAATCAAAGCAATGCCTCCTGGGGGACTTCCCTGGTGGTCCAGTGGCTAAGACTTCGAGCTCCCAACGCAGGGGGCCCAGGTTCGATCTATGGTCAGGGAACTAGATCCCACATGCCACAACTAAGAGTTTGCATGCTGCAACTAAAGATCCCACGTGCCGCAACGAAGATCCCATGTGCAGCAATGAAGACCCGATGCAGCCGAATAAATAATAATTAAATAAAATTTTTAAAAAGTAGTAATGCCTCCTGAATACTGAGGTCTTAAAATTCGATGGTTTCTGATCAAACTCGCCCAGCTTGCTAATGGCAGAGCTTCTGGTTCAGCACTTTCTGGCAAAGGAAGAAGAGTTAGGTCCTTGGACTATTTCATTCAATCTGCCTAAACACCCAGCAGGGCAGGCTGTGTTTCGTTACATCAAGCCACAGGTGAGGAAAGGCCCAGAAAGGGGAAATGACATGCCCACAACAGTCAACTCCTGTGTTCCTGCACCCACCACCTTTCTGATCTCTTTCTACCACTCCAGGCTCATCTTCACCAAACGGAGGTTTGCCTCTTGAACGCTGGATTCCCCCACCCATTGGGAGATTGCAAAGTCCTCTGGCTTTTCCTGCTGTCCTTAACCCCTCAGCCCAAAAGCCCCCAGCCTGCCCCATTTCCTGACTTTTGATTTTCTAAAACCCATGAAGAATCTCATGTCCTATGACCCTATCTTAAGATGAAGTTAGCAGGCACAGACAAATCCCCTGAAATACCTGTTCTTAAACCTGAATTGCCACCTTGCTCCCTGACAGTGATGTAGGTGACCCGGCTGGGAGCCAGGCGGCTGGTTTCAGTGGAGCACAGAAACTCTCTCTCCCCCATACAAGGGCTTCTGTTGCATTTCAGACTACTGAGAAAGTAACTCGGCAAATGAGGTAGAGCAGAACCTAGCCTTTATTTTCAGATCCCACTCTTCCTCCCAGGAGCAGCCCTCCAGGTTGAAGGGCAGCCAGTCTCACCTGTGAGAGGACCAGGGAGCATGGGTGGAAGATGGCAGGGAAGGACAAGCCCCATAAAGGCGGGCCATGGGTAACCATCCATGTAAACAAGCACGTCTTCACAAGCCCTGGGCTGGAAGGACTTGTGTTAGGCCCTAAAGAAGTATGACAGCCAACACAGAAGACCTGGTAAGAGAACAGAGTGAGGACCAGGGAGAACTGGAGGCTGGTTTGAGCTCACTAGAAGGAAGAACCCACCTACAGCCACAGACAGGGCTAGTCAAAATGTAAATGAGTCCTACAGTTTCTTGCAACATTTTTGCAAGATTAATTCTTCCATTCATACAGATTTTGACTATAACGTGAACAGTGACTCTGGTTGGTTAAACATAAAGGTTCCAATTTACTTAGCACAGCCATTTTTTTTGGCATGGCAAGAAGTTCTGGAGTTATGTGAATGGTGCTCAAGAGTGGAGGTCGGAGCAGCCTGATAAATCTGCTTTTCTGACAGTGGTGGTATTGGTATGCTGAGAGTGTGACAGATCTGCTCTGTCAGCACGAGCTCTTGTCTGGCCCCTGCTATAAAGAGGAGAAGAGACAACTTAAAATGTAAGGAAAGTATCCGGCCTTGAAGCCCACGGGGGGACTCTATCAAGGCTCTTCTCATTGGTATGCTTGGCGGCAGCTGCCACTCTGGACCTTCTGGCTCCTCAATACAGCTCTCAGAATGCTGTAAAAGAGTCACCCTACAGACATCAAGCCACAGTCAGCACTGCCTCCAGACTTGTTAAGGCACTTACTATCTTTGTTCTAAATCCCAGTGTCTCCAGAAAGCCAAGGTTCCAGGTAACCTACTAATACTCCTAGTTAGGTCCCCAAATTAATAACCAAAACTCCAAAAACACAAGAAATTGCCTCCCCGCCTTCAGCTCCCATTTGGGCTGCAGAGTAAAGAGATAGCGGCCAACAGTCGAAATGGCATCTCTACATTCCCCCAACACTTCTTAAGAAACTTTTGTTTTATTTTACTTAACACTTTTACAAAA